GTGTCACATGTGTGCTTAGAGGGTATGATAAATACAGAAAACTGAGCCAAAAGAATGAATTATTCTATTATAACAATAATAATACCATATCCCAGGATAGCAAACAGAAGATCAATTGAAGAATTTGAGAATTGAACCTCACGTCTTCGCAACAATCTCAAAGGTTTCGTCAGGGTTTGCGAAACAAGAGATTTACCTTTTGCTCAAAACTACTAAAAATACGAACGTTCCCAGTGTAGATGAACATACGTCGTAAATACCACCACTAAATACTGTTAAAACTTAAAATAGTGTATTTAAATTTGTATATATGTATGTTAAAATTGACGAGATGTTATAGATGGCGAGAAGCTTCAGAGAATCAATTGATTCGAGTTGCATTCAGTTGCCTATTCAATGACTTCATTTTTGCATTTTATTCGTCTTTCGAGTAGATTTATTTTATTACAAAAAATATTCTTACTCGTAATTTTTCCTTTTCTTTACTCGCAAGTTTTTTTTTTCGTAATAACCCATTTTTCGTTTCTTTTTTTTTTAATCGTATTTACTCGTTTTTTTTATCAATCGGTTTCCTTTAAGGATAATTTATTTTTAGGAGTAACTTATTTTAACTAAATTTACACGCTATTTTTTCTTTTAATTATTATTCAATATGTAAATAAATAGCTTGATTAATTTATTTTAAGCAATTTTATTTATATCTTATTCCTTTTAGTTTTTAAACGAACTTCTTCCGTTAAGGATAATTTTTTTGGAGTAACCTATTTTAACTAAAATTTACACGTTTTTTTTTTTTTTTTAACTAGTATTTAACATGTAAATAGCTTGATTAATTTATTCTTAAACATGTTATTTCTCTTAGTTTTTAAACGGAATTTATTAGAGTATCAATCAATATCCCAAATTATTCATACCGGATTTTAGGAGATTTCTTTTTGTAAATAGCCTAAGTCATTTTAATCACTCTAAACATTTTTGTTAAGTGTAGTTAAGAAAAAAATAATAAAAAGTAAAGTTATAAAAAGAGAAAGACCAAACAAATAAGATATAATGGAGAAGTTAAAAGGGGAGGAAGAGAAAGTAAGTTGTAAGACGAGCCAATATAATAAATCGTTTTTATTTTATATATATAAATTATATATATTTTATTTTATATATATATATATATATATTGGTTTGTTTTCTTCTCTCCTGCCAAAAGGCCGCATGTAGGAAGATCAGTACAACCAAGCATACCCAATCTATAACATCGAATAGCCCAAGTGAAGTCTTGATTAGTTGCCGTTTTCTCGTGGAACTTATATAAAGCGCATCCTATGGCCACCTCGGCGTGGTGTAATGGTTAGCAAGCTTGTCTCGCTAGATCAGTTATGACTGAAAAGTGAGTTCGATCCTCACTAGGTGTCCCATACTTTCGGCCTTGTGCCACATCTAAGCTACGCTTAGAAATAACTAGGGCACCTCGCGGTGGTGTAATGGTTAGCAAGCTTGTCTTGCTAGCACGATTATGACTGAGTAGTGAGTTCGATCCTCACTGGGTGCCCCATAATTTCGGCCTCGTGCTACGCTTGGTAAATCACAAGAAAGCACATCCTAAAGCTAGTAGCAAATTTTATTTTGGGTGCGGGCCGAATACTGATCATATTCGGTCGGGTCGCCCATCGAAGAAGTCTGTTGTTTATTTAGACCTGAAACTTCTCGTGACATGGGAGCAACAACACTGACGTCTCACTTAGATTCGGCATTTAAAGGTGTATTTTTAATAACCTAGACTAGCACACTGATACAAGAATGCTGTACACAGTGAGGATCGAACTCACTACAATAATACTGATCTTATAACATTTTAATTAGTAATAAGCATTATTGCCCTACTTTTAATATTAATCTCGGTATTTGTAAGGTTTGCTTTCATTGAATGCATTGACTGACGAAATTACCCTGCTTCATATTATTTTTGGCAACATCCGATTATAATTGTGCTTGTCCACCCCATTCGTTAGTACACACGACCCCTGCCAATAAGTCACAAATAACGGACTGCACTATTTTAATCGCATGGGAAGTGGGGAAAAGATACTCTTTCGTTTCAGTGAGAAAATAAAAGAAAGAAAGACAGAAAAAAAAAAAGGACGGGAAGATGGAAGTGTTTAAAGTCTTTTGACAATACTTCATAAATAATGAACTATTCCGTTTTGGTTGTCTTGAAAAAGAAAACATAAATCAGATCGCTACTTGGTTTCAATGAGAAAATAACTGAAAGAGAGAAAGAAAAAAAGGGATGATTAGTATAAGTATTTATATAACGATGTGCGTTGTTATCCATTACCGTTTTGCATTTAAAAGAAGCATAATGAAAAAAATACAGCAATGAATAACAACGCACAACTTTATATAAATACTTATACTAATCAACAACATATAGTTTTGTACCACTTGCACCCCTGAAGATGACCTTGGAAAAAGATCGAAAGTACTTGTGAAATGAAAATAAATTTAAACAGCTATATCACATTTCTCTCATCTTTTAACATCGATACACGGAAGGTTATTCGTGCGTATGAATGGATATTATTAAAAATTAGCAAACATAATGTCTGTAATTTATCCAGTCAGACATGTTTAAAAGAGAATTTGTTGCCTAAATACACAAACATATATATATATATATATATATATATATATATATATATATATATATATATATATATATATAGGGTGTCCATCCATAAAGTTCGTGTGCACTTTAAAAATTTATGACTTTATTTGTATTTGCGATAGAGATAATTTGTAAAAAGGATTAGAAAGAAGTAAATCTATATTTCTTAAGGTTTTATTGAAATGCAACAATTTCGTCGCTGATACATGGCCTTCCAGACCGTGGCTTATTATGGACGGAGCCTGTCTCTTTAAATTTTTTTATCCATTTAGCAATAATGTTCCTATGAGGTGGTTCTTTATTGTATTCAATTCTAAACTTTCTTTCTACAGCAATAGTAGATTTCAGTTCAGCCAACCAAAGGACGCAGTTTACTTTTTCCTCAGTTGAAGCCATGGATCAAATTGATTCTGGAAAAAAAGAAAATATTTTTTTATTTATCTAAAAATTGTTGCAAATTTTTTGGTAAAGAATTATTCAATAACTGTATTTAAAACTAGGTACATTCGACTTTATAACATTTTTACAGATTATTTCTATCGCAAATACAAATAAAGTTATAAATTTTTGAAAGTGCACACGTCCTGAATTTTCGCCTGAGGATGAAACAGAGCTTGTTACTTTAATTCAATTTAATTTCAATAATTATATTGATGGTTTCGGCTCTCGTTTTTGAAACATGAGAACTCTTATGTAGCGAAGGAATCATATTTTTAAAAAAATAATTGTAATCTAAGCTCTACTTCGGTATGGAGCACTGTTTTTTAAAAATAAAAAAAACAAAAATATTAAAGAACTCTGGATTATTTACCTAATGTGTTCTTTCCTATTTTTCTACACACACACACACATATATATACATATATAATAAGTTTAATCGGAAAATATAGTAATATTATTTGCTTTTTACTTATTATTTATATGTTGTTTATTTTTTTTACAAACACTTAACACCTGTTATATTTAGTTGATTGCAGAAGGCAACTGCGCGTTGTAGGAAAATATTGTAAATGATTTTACTCTAGGAATGCAATGAAAATCACTGAAGAAAGTGACTGTCAGAGATCAAGGTTCAAGTAAGGCATTAGTGACAAAATGAGTCAATTACAATAGCGACGCTGCTACTTGAGGGGTGAAAATATCTTCTCTACCACGTCTTATTACAATCAAGCCTTGAAGATGTATACATGTGCCTATCCTCACATACATTAGTGACAAAAGCCAGCTTAGTTGTAATTAAATAACAGGCAATTTTTCAATTGTACATAGCTTTCTCTGTCCCTTTGAAAAATCAGGGATCGGGTCTAAAAATAACGCCTCTTGTTTTATCTTTCCTCCGGGGTTGGGGGTACCTTAAAAACTAACGGAATAATAATAATAATAATAATAATAATAATAATAAGTTTATAAAGTATTTCTTAATCCAGCTGTCCTTTTGCGATATAAATCTGATTAAACCTTTAATCTTCCCCGTGTTGCAAAGTAACCAGTTGTCTGAAATAAAACGCCAAGAAAGGCTTGAAAGAGGTGGCAGATTTCAACTATTACACGAACAATGACGTCAATTACATTCCATGGCGATTAAAGGAGCCCTTACGCCATATCTAATGTAGCTCTCTCATCTATCTATCTATCTATCTATCTATCTATCTATCTATCTATCTATCTATCAGCCTGTTCATTTCTGTCTATCTCAGTCTGTTCATATCTATCTATCTATCTATCTATCTATCTATCTATCTATCTATCTATCTATCCTTAGCCTGTTCATTTTCTATCTATCTATCTATCTATCTATCTATCTATCTATCTATCTATCCTTCGCTTGTTCATTATCTATCTATCTATCTATCTATCTATCCTTCGCTTGTTCATTATCTATCTATCTATCTATCTATCTATCTATCTATCTATCTATCTATCTATCTATCAGCCTGTTTATTTCTGTCTATCTATCTCAGTCTGTTCATATCTATCTATCTATTTATCTATCAAAGTGTTACATCATGACATAAGTGATCATAGCTCTCCACAACTTCCTTTTCTCTTTAATATTTTTGATTGATTGGTTGGTTTTCTACGGCTTATCAACCCTTTGCAGTTAAGTTAAAGTCAGAGAATGCTTTAGATTGTAAGAATTTTTTTGCGGGAGAGGGTAATAATGATTTAGTGATACAAGTCTTACTAATTAACCCATAGCGGGGAGGGAAGAGGTTGATTCATACCTTTTCCAAAGGTATTCGCCCTTAAATGAATATAAGGAACCTAACTGGAATTGGAACTCGGCTCTCCGATTAACAATTATGAACCACTATCCATTAGGTCACCTGCAAATCAAAACTTACAGCACCTGGTATTCCTAAGGAGTCACTCATCAAGGTACTAAACAGATTCAACGTTGCTTAACGTCATTGGTCGAACGGGAATCGATGCTTCTACATGATGCGGCCGTAAGTTCTTTAATATCTGCAAACAGTACATTGCCTTAATTGTTCTTTGGAAACATTGTAGATTCCTTTTTCGTTACCTTCTCCACACTTTTGAAATCAGAGTTTTTCTTCTCCAAGACTAGTTGCCGACCCATTCTGTTCCATCTTCAAGCGAAATTTTTTTATGGAAACATTATGATTCCATAAAAAAAAAAAAATTCAAAGCGTAGTACTTTAATTCAATTTAATTCAAATGATTATATTGAAGTTTTCGGCTCTTGTTTTGAAACATGAGAACTCTTATGTAGCGTTGGAATCATATTTTTAAATAAATAATTATATTTAGGCTCTACTTTTGTATCGAGCACTATTTTAAAAAAATAATAACAAAAATACTAAAGAACTTTGGATTATTTATCTAACGAGTTATTTCCTATTTTCTATATATTTTTACACACACACACACACACACACACACACACACACACACACACACACACACACATATATATATATATATATAATTTTATTTTTTTAATCATTACACACCAAAGCTGGAATGAGAGAAAAGACTGGGTATAGGGGGGGATTCAAAAAAGGATAAAAGACAGAAGATAGCGATTGACATTGCATTTAAATTTTTGAAGATTATAGTTATCCGGGGAAACAAGTAAACGGAAGGGAGTTCCACAGGCGGGAAGTGTGAGAAAAGAAGCTATTGAAGTAGAAGTGTTGGTTACATTTAACTATTTCAACAATAAAAGGGTGGGACCTAGATGCCAATCTAGTAGCATGATTAAACTCCTGTAGTCTGGGCACCAGGAAAAAAAAAGCTCTCTCTCTTTAAATATCTGTGGAGGTGTTTGTCTGTGTGTGTTTATGTGTCTGTGAGATAAAATATTTTATATATACAGGGTGCCCGTAAAATCTCCTTACAATTTAAAAGAATTTTTACAAAAGCAAATAAACAGACAAATACGTAGAAATTGTTACAAAATGAGGTGTAGATAATGAAGTTTTTGTTTAACTATTTACATTTTTCAGACTGTTGTCCTCATCTTTGTTGTCCCCATCTTTGTTGTCCCCATCTTTGTTGTCCTCATCTTTTGTTGTCCTCATCTTTTGTTGTCCCCATCTTTGTTGTCCCCATCATTGTTGTCCCCATTTTTGTTGTCCTCATCTTTTGTTGTTCCCATCTTTGTTGTCCCCATCTTTGTTGTCCTCATCTTTGTTGTCCCCATCATTGTTGTCCTCATCTTTGTTGTCCCCATCTTTGTTGTCCTCATCTTTGTTGTCCCCATCTTTGTTGTCCTCATCTTTGTTGTCCCCATCTTTGTTGTCCCCATCTTTGTTGTCCTCATCTTTTGTTGTCCCCATCTTTGTTGTCCTCATCTTTTGTTGTCCCCATTTTTGTTGTCCCCATCTTTGTTGTCCTCATCTTTTGTTGTCCTCATCTTTGTTGTCCCCATCATTGTTGTCCCCATCTTTGTTGTCCTCATCTTTGTTGTCCCCATCTTTGTTGTCCTCATCTTTGTTGTCCCCATCATTGTTGTCCTCATCTTTGTTGTCCTCATCTTTTGTTGTCCTCATCTTTGTTGTCCCCATCTTTGTTGTCCCCATCATTGTTGTCCCCATCTTTGTTGTCCTCATCTTTGTTGTCCTCATCTTTTGTTGTCCCCATCATTGTTGTCCCCATCATTGTTGTCCTCATCTTTTGTTGTCCCCATCTTTGTTGTCCCCATCTTTGTTGTCCTCATCTTTTTTGTCCCCATCTTTGTTGTCCTCATCTTTGTTGTCCCCATCATTGTTGTCCTCATCTTTGTTGTCCCCATCTTTGTTGTGTTCATCTGTGTTGTCCCCATCATTGTTGTCCTCATCTTTGTTGTCTGTCCCCATCATTGTTGTGTTCATTTTTGTTGTCCCCATCTTTGTTGTCCCCATCATTGTTGTCCCCTTCTTTGTTGTCCCCATCTTTGTTGTCCCCATCATTGTTGTCCCCATCATTGTTGTCCTCATCTTTGTTGTCCTCATCTTTGTTGTCTCCATCTTTGTTGTCCCCATCATTGTTGTCTTCATCTTTGTTGTCCTCAACTTTGTTGCTATATTCACATTTTTTTTTAACTAATTTAATCCGTATGGCCACCATTAGTTGAACAAAACACATCAAGATGGTACTTGATTTCTAGCCATGTTCGCTGTAGCATAGCCTCGTCAAAAGTGGCAATGGCATCAGTGATCTTTTGCTACGTGATAGCAAGATACGTGATACGTGACATGTTCAAAGATATGTGACATCATCAGTGATGTCACATATCTTTGTTGGATACATGAGATCTTTAACATAACCCATAGAAAGAAGTTTCGTAGTTTCTTTAAGTTTATTGTGTGGAAATAATTGTGGATCCCGATGCAGTTTTTGCGCTATTTATAGTATTCTGTGCTATTTTTTTATTATTTATTATTGATCATTTTATTTTTGGTTGTTTTTATTGCGTTTACTTGCGCTTGTGTGTGCGTTCGTGGTTTGTTGATTTGTTTATTATTTACTTAATTTATTTATTTTTGTTTATTTTATTTTTTGTTTATTCTTGCTCGATTTTAATTTTTGACTTTTAAGTAACGTAGTAAAAATGTCTGAATGAAACAGACTGTCATGTCAATGTTGACTTCAATGTCCACTTTTATATTTACATACGCTCTATCGCTGATATTCAAGCAACATATGAGAAGGCGTCGAAATGTTTTCGACCCAGTTTAAGAAAATATAACCAAATGATGAAAAATCAGAACTTTCTTTTAAATCGAAAAATTAAAGTGATTTTTTTTTTACTTAGGGTAAGAAAGAAAATGATAGAAATGAAATTGTTTGATTATTGTTGGGGTGATTTTTAGAGATGCGTAAAATATATATGCGTAAAATAATGGCGAGACACAGGAAACACTGGATAATTTAATAAATGAACACACTGTACACGTTTTCCGAATATTTAGTAACATTTTAGAACACGTTTTATATAGTTCCGTGTGATGTCATCGGTGTTTTTTCCGCCCTTCAAGTCAATCAAGGTTAAACATTCTATCTTCTATGTGGCATATGTGGTTAATAAGGAGGCGTGTAACCCTTGCCTGGGGGCACAGCTATGAAAAGGATCGGACTCCTTTTTCCCTTAATATTATTTTACTTACTATGTGGTCGACTGTTGTCTCGTGTGTCGGCCAGACAAGGTTTCGTAATTAAGTAGAAAAGTAGCTTCAGCTGACAATTAAACTCTCATAGATGACATTAACCTGTGAGAATTAAAAGAAAATATTTCTATTATATCGCATATCAGTAAAGCCTCTGGCTATCATATTGCTATGAATAAAGAATAATGCAAATTTCATTAGAAACAACGGCAAGAGTACTGAACTGGTATATGATGTCAGTCTTTCTATATGGCAATGGCATCTACCGCAAGGAAAGTTCGTTGTCTGTGTCGCGCCAGAAGGTTTTTCTCGTCTGAGTCCATCCCTCAAATCTACAAATCTACCATTCGGCTTTGCATTGAATACTGTTGCCATATATGGTCTGGTGTCCCTGTTGTTCATCTCAAGGTTCTCGACAAAATCCAAAGACGGATATGCAATGTGATAGGTCCTGACCTGGCATCTCGTCTACAGTCACTTTCTCACCGGCATAATGTGGCTTCCCTCTGTCTTTTCTATAAATATTGCCATGGCATCTGCTCTGACGAGCTATTTTCACTGGTGCCCCGACTGCATGAATTTAAGCATGCTACTAGGTTGGCATCTCGCTCCCTACCTTTTTACTGTTGAAACAGTTAAATATAACCACCTCTTTTACTCCAACAGCTTCTTCTCTTGCCCTTCCCGACAGTGAAACTCCCTTCCTCTTACTTGCTTCCCTGATAACTATAATCTTCAGCAATTTAAGTGTAATGTCAATCGACATCTTCTCATGTCTTGATCCCTGTTCTTGCTTTATCCTTGCCTAAATCCCCCCCCCATATACCCAGTCTTTTCCTTTACGTTCACTCTCTGTAGCCCATTGCGTACTAGTGACACTCCCGCTTTGCTTGGGTGTGAAATGTTTAAAAAAATACTAAACAATCTCCTCACAGATGAAGAAGAGTCTTGAAGCAACAAAAATGTGGTTCTACCGAAGGATGCTGAGAATACCACGGACCAAACATGTGAACAACGATGGAGTTTTATAGAAAATAGAAACAAAAAGGACACATACTTAATATCAGGAAGAGGAAGAAACAGTTTAAATTTCTCTGGAAAATAATGAGGAAAGAGTGCTTGGAAAATCTGATACTCACAAGGCAGATTGAAGGTAAAAGGGACAGAAGGAAAACAATGCATAACCTAGTTAGTGAGCTTGAGTAAATGGATTGTAGAACAAGGTTTAGGAGAAATAACAAAAAGATTAAAATTTCTCAAGAGCTATGAAGGAGAGGAAATTGTGGAGAGCCATAATTTCCAACTTCCTGAAAGGCATGGCACAGGACAAATTGAAGTCAAAAGGGACAGAGGAAAACAACACATACCCTATTTACTAAGTTTGAGTAAATGGGTAGCGGAATAATGTTTAGGAGAAATAACAAAAAGATTAAAATTTATCGAGACATACGAAGTACAGGAAATTGTGGAGAGCCATGGTCGGTAACATCCTGAAGAGATACAACACAAGAAAAAGAACACAAGGACACATGGCACTGTGGATAAAGCCGTTAGTTAGATCCAGTGACAGGACCCAAAGAGTGTGAGTTCAATACCCGGTTAAGGCAGTGGAGAACTTGGAGAGGGGAATTAACAGGAGATAACTGATAACTGACATCCATTAAACATGGCACGTGGAAGTAGAACAGTCTACCCCAGTGAGCGAAATGATTCAGTTCGACATTCCAACCACCTGAAGAAGGCCGGAGCGTGCAACGGCCGAAACGTTGTAATAAATATGGCGACAAAGATGAGGACAATAGTCCGAATAATGTAAATAATATACATAATGCCTCATC